TATTAGATGCTGAGAAAACTCCAGAAAATCCTGCAGAAAGTATGCGTGCTACGCTTTCTTGTTTGCTTACTTGTGTTTGTATTGCTAATTCATTATAGATTTCTTTTAGAAATGAAAAAAGAAGTCCGAAAAAATAAAACATTGCGTATAATATAGTCAATCTTTCTATATAGTCAGTCCAGATGTAATACGGCCATCCTAGAAAAGCAAGAAGTTCATTTTTTAAGTTTACAAAACTAAAAATGATTATTAGTGATATATCTTGAGGTCTGTATTTTTTGCCAATTAGATAAAAGTGATCTTTTATGACTTAAAGTATTCGCTGTAGTCTTGTGCGTAGATGTCTGAAAATCCTGCAGTTTCTGCAAGTTTTCGTAAGTTTTGATCTATGGATTGTCGTTGTATTGTGTCCTTTTTTGAAAGCAGTTCTTGAAATTGTTGTGTACGGATATGCTATTGAATATCGGATTTAGAGTAGATTCCGATTGATTGTAAACAGATATTAGGATTTCGGGCAATAGCTCTAATTCTTTCTAGTGAAAACTTTTTTAATGGTTGCATGAGTGTAGGGTAAGTAGTAGATGTTGGAGGTGATCAGGGTGGGGAGGTGGCTGACCCCCATGTATTAACATAGGCTATAGAGTATCCGGTCAGCCACTTATGTATTAAGATTGGGTATAGAGTCTACAATGTATTAAGATAGGGAATACCGATGGTAAGGTTTTATGTTTTGTGTGATGGTAAGATAATGGTAAGAAAAACGTAATTTTTTTGGTTTTTGTGCGGAAATGTCTAATTTTTTCACAAAAATCTGGGCGCGCGTTACCTAATTGGGAACAATTAATTGTTAATTACGTGTAGATTGTAGAATAAAGGTTATGTATTTAGTTTTTTGGTGCATGGTAAGTCAATGGTAAGAGATTTTGTGCAAAAACTTGGAATTTTTATCAAAACAATTTTTTCGAAAAAATTCAAAACACGATAAGATTTGTTTAATTTGATCTAATAAAAATTTATTGGATACTTTTACTTTCTACCTATCTGAATCTATTCTGAACCTACAGAGACATCGAAAAAAAGTCAAGTTTTTTGAGAAAAAAAGTTTAAATTACAAAGAAAGTATATAAATCACTGCATTGTATAACAAGTTTACCGCAACATTTTACATTTTAACATCATAAACCCAATATAATACAACATCATGAATAAATTTACTTGACCAGATCAGTTCTTATAAGTTCAGTGGTTTTGTATGAGTTCCATCATCTTGTACTTGTCTTTTTGGATAAAAATAGCTTAGTCCTTTCTTTGTCTGTTCATATGTGGCCACCATATGATTTATAGTTCTGAATCCTCTGTTAGTAGATGTAAGATTAATTGCTTCATCAAGCACTCTCCTATACTTTGCTAAAGGTCCATCTCCAGAGTCTTCTAGAACCCGCTTATTCAATCCTTTGCTGCTAAATTGAATTTGTCTGACTTGTTGTCATAGCAGCAATAAGTCTTACTACATGAACAGAGCATTTCTGTGCACCTAAATTCTTTTTTGAAAAGTCCCGGCTTCCGCTTATCATGTTTTTTTATGGATACTACAACAGGTTCGAGGAAAGAAATTAGATTTTGCATCCGCATTGAAGGAATCTCTGCAATCACTCTCCCTCATTTTTTCCCAAGCAGCTCTCTTATCTGGTTGGATGCAATCGTACAAATTTTCTTCTGCAAGTGCCAAGTAAAGTGAGTCTGTGTCCATCTCCAACTCTTCAAATTTGTTTACATCACAGAACTTGTCAAAGAAGTTGTAGTAGAGTTCCAACATTCTCAGTTTTGCCTACTGAAGTATGAAAAAACCAACAATGATGAGTTCTCTGTGCTCAATGGTTGACTTCAATAACTCCACCTCATATAAGTCCTTCTCAACTGTGTTAAGTCTCTTAAACAGTGGTTCATTGATTGCCTTGTGAGTTTTTTCATCGTTCAGATACTTCGTGATTGTATGTCTTGATCTATCCATGATCTGATATCCATAGGAGGAATTGCCCAAGAGCTTCATTGTTTCTGCTACAACTCCTGATAGAGGGTTTTCATCTCCTTCTCTTCTTGCATCAACCCCTGACTGAACGAAATTCTTAAAGCATTTCTGAGGAGAATATTCAACAAAACGATAAATTTAGGTGCATTGCAAGCCAAGTTCCAAATAAAAGTTGAAGAGAGGAGTTATAACTGTTCCATTTTCTAGCTTGAAGCTAGATATAAGCATTCTCTGTGGATGTTTCAACATTTCATTTTCAATAGCATAATTCTTCATATAAACACCAATATCGTTTCTTCCAACCTCAGTGTTTTTGAAAATTGGAGGAAAATTCGCAAATTTCGATTTCAGTTCATCTGGAACAACTAAGTCACACTGAACGTAGCCAAAAAGAGATCCATCTTTTATTTTTGCTAGAAGTGAGTCTGTAGAAAGAGGTCTTTTATAGGGAAAGTGGGTTCGAACATGATTTTTGATCTTGTCATTGGTTTTGAAATTTTGCCACCACTCACACACCCACATTTTTTCCACTTTGTATCCTGTCTCTTTAATGTATTCTCGTCGCATATCATCCATTTCTCTCTTCTTGTTTCCTCGCTCAATATCCTGTTCTGTTAAGGAGTGACGAGCTTCTTGACAAGAACAAAAGTGATAGTAGCATCCCATTGCCTCAAATACTGTTTTACAGTGATCACAATAACCGTCCACATTAAAACAGTCAATTTTCTTCTGTTTTCCAGATGTAAGAAAACTCTCAATTTTACATTCTGGCCTTGATTCTTGATAGAAAGACATGACCATAATCTCAAAGTTGCGAGTTCGATTATGTCTAGCCTTGAATTTCTGCATATCAGTGTCAAACTCCCATCGCGTATTCAGTCCTGTTGGCATATCTTGACACATTGAATAGGGGTAAAGCTGGCTCGCATCAATTCCAACGATTGACTTACAATTATTTGATGAATCTCTGATAAAGGTTTCGTCTACAACAGCTTTTTGAGTGAACACAATCGAAGGCCCGCCAGTCATGTCTTCTCGTATTTTTTCACACAAATCTTTATCACTTTCGCAAAATGGATAAAACTTGTAATTTGTAGATTTGTGTAGACATATGTTTGCTAGATTTGGAAGTGTACATCCAAGTTTTAACATATCTATCCCTTTGTTATGATAAAATTGAATCATTTTTTGCATTGCTTCCAGGGTTGGAACTACATCTTTGTTGTTGTACCAGTGCAAAAAGTCTTTGAACACAGTCATTCCGTTTTTCTGCCAAGTTTGTTGTAATTAACTGTAATTATCTAGACCAGATGCGGGTACTGTGTTGATTTGAAGCTTTTTCAGTGCTTGCTGTTCATCAAGTCCACTCTTGCTCAGTTTTTCATAATCGGTAAAGTCTTTGTCTAGAGGATTGTTGTTTCTAAGTTTACTGAAAAAGGCTTCATATGGGGGCAGTCCTGGAAAATCAAGTTTGTCAGGGTTGTCAAACCACTCATAAGGAAAGAATCCTTTTGTTTCACTAGCTTTATAAGCTTTGAGAAATGAGTCCAGAGTTGTTGCTCCACCCAGAAATTTCATAATGTCAAGAAATTGTACATCTCCAAACTTAAAAGATATAAAATCATTTGCTTTTTTAATAACGGATGTTTTTTGCTCTTTATCGCGAATCAAATAAGGGATTAAGTAGGACTTGATCAAATTTAAGTCATATCTACCACTGCTAAATCCAAAAACAGGTAAAGTATTTATATATCTCTCCAGATGTTGTTTT